AATTTATGAATTATCAAGGGTTCATGAGGGAGGGGGGGAAATGAGGAACTGATGCCAGGGGCTTAACTGGAGAGCAAATGTTTTGAGAATGAAGAGGGCAATGAATGTACAAATGTGCTTTGCACGATTGATGTATGTATGGATTGTGATAAGAGTTGTATGAGCCCCTAATAAAATGATTAAATATTTTTTTGTCTAGTCATTTTTGTTTCCGTGCATTTGTTTGCTTCCTGCTCATGTTTTGTGTGATTTTCTGTAAATGAACTACTCCAGGCCTATACTCTAGGTCTATAGAGAGAGTAACTGGATTGATAATTACCTAGGGGAACAACAGGGATGGTGGGGGGAAATGGGGAGTTAACAAGGAGTATGAGAAAGAAAAAAAAAAGTTCTCCAATTGTAGTAATGATTGCATAAATCTTCTTAATATGATTGAATGATTAAATTGTGTGATATGTGAAGTATATGCCAATATAACTTTTTTTTAAAGGAATAGATGAAAAGGGAAAACAAGATGTGAAATGTTAACCTCACTGTATCTGCATTGATTCACTCAGTCTGAGGGCAGACCTTTTCCCATCCCTGGTCAATGGTACCAGAGGTGCAGTGGAGGCTTAGCCCTGGGGGCGGTCTCTGCAAATGGGTTTGGGGCTTTGACTCTCATCCACGAGGCTGTGAATCTTCAATTCTTCCAGTTCAGATGAACATTACCGAGTACATATGCAATGATATACGGTTAAGACGTGTACCGGTATGTTTGACTGCCTCCCCCTGCCTCTGCGAGGCTGTAAATCTTTACAGGTGCAAGAAACCCCCATCTCTCTCCTGCAGCGTAGCTAGCTAGTGGGTTTGAACCGCTGACCTTCGGTGATCAGCCCAAGATGTCACTGTGCACTGTCGCCAGGGCTGCATGCCACCCTTGTGAAGCGGGGATACTTACGCTTCTCCAGATTAACTTGTCTAAAGCTTGGCACCAGCCTCCATGCACTCTGAGGGCACAGGCAGGGAGCGTGGGCAGGTTTGGGTGGGGGCCTTCTGGCAGGTGGAAGGTGGGGCCCTGGGACTGACAAGCAGAGAGGGAGTGAGGGTTGTATGGCTGAGTCTCTGGGTGCTGGCTACAGGAGTGGGGGTGGGCACCCAGGGGGGGATGTGTCTGGGCATATCTATGTGTTTGGGAATGGTGGGGGGCATTTAGGGGTGGCAGACTCTGGGGTCTCAGGCCCTGGTGGTGGGAAGGAAGGGTGAGTCAGCTGGGCAGCACCCTGGCTGACAGGCCTAGACACATGCTGCCAGCTGGGCTGGCACAATCCTAGTTCTGTGTATTTGTTTTCCTGTTGGCTGCCGTCCAGGTCCAGCGGGGCCTCTGAAGGCCGAAACCTGCGCTGGCTAGTGCGTGCCCCTCCCAATGTGGGCATTGCCTCATTGGGCAGCAGGGAGCAGCCAGTGAGGGGAGAGGCTGGCAGGAGTAGGTGTGTGTGTGTGTGTGT